TCTAAACCAGGACTAAACCAGGGACTAATCCAGGTCTAAACCAGGACTAAACCAGGACTAAACCAGGACTAAACCAGGTCTAAACCAGGTAAACTAAACCAGGTCTAAACCAGGTAAACCAGGACTAAACCAGGACTAAACCAGGACTAAACCAGGACTAAACCAGGTCTAAACCAGGACTAATCCAGGTCTAAACCAGGAATAAACCAGGTCTAAACCAGGTCTAAGTCAGACTCTACCTTGGTCTTGTCGGCTTTGGTCGTTGGGGTTTTGGACGCAGTAGTCGTAGTAGTGGTAGTAGTTGTAGTACTAGGTGGAGTCGCAGTGGTTGTCGGTTTAGTTCCAGTACTAGTTCCAGTACTAGTACCAGTCGCGGTCGCAGTAGTAGTAGTAGTACTGGGCTTAGTTGTTTTGGCAGGTTCTTTCACGCTCGCGGACGCTGCCGTCGTCGTCGTCTAAAAACGTAAACAGTGAAAATGAAACTAAAAAAAAAAAAATCCACACTTTTTTTTCCATAAAAACAAATTCACCGAGAATCAGCAAAGTGTCTGGCCCAAGAGCACAAAACCAGAAAGAGCCGAGGAGCAGAGTAAGAGCCATGCACCAAACCAGGACTAAACCAGGACTAAACCAGGACTAAACCAAGACTAAACCAGGACTAAACCAGGTCTAAACCAGGTCTAAACCAGGACTAAACCAAGACTAAACCAGGTCTAAACCAGGACTAATCCAGGACTAAACCAGGTCTAAACCAGGAAAACGAGGCTCTAGTTTTAATATTAGTTTTAGTGTCGCTCAGAATCAGATTTTCGATCTTCACCGAAACGTGCAAGTTCAAAACGTTTGAGCGCGAAGCAGAAAATGAAATAAAATATGAGAAAAATGTGTTAAAATTAAGAAAAAAAAAAGCAGTGTTTCCCTCAATCCTGAAGCACGAAGCAGAAATGAAGCTTCAGAAGAGTTTAAGATCATCAAAGTGTGAAGCAGCTCAACAGCGCCACCACAGGCCGTGAAACGAGCACCACAAGCAGGTTCTGAGGTTCCTCTGAGGTTCCTCTGAGGTTCCTCTGAGGTTCCTCTGAGGTTCCCCTGAGGTTCCTCTGAGGTTCCCCTGAGGTTCCTCTGAGGTTCCTCTGGGGTTCCCCTGAGGTTCCCCTGAGGTTCCCCTGAGGTTCCCCTGAGGTTCCTCTGGGGTTCCTCTGAGGTTCCTCTGAGGTTCCCCTGAGGTTCCCCTGAGGTTCCTCTGAGGTTCCTCTGGGGTTCCTCTGAGGTTCCCCTGAGGTTCCTCTGAGGTTCCTCTGGGGTTCCCCTGAGGTTCCCCTGAGGTTCCTCTGGGGTTCCTCTGAGGTTCCCCTGAGGTTCCTCTGAGGTTCCCCTGAGGTTCCTCTGAGTTCCTCTGGGGTTCCCCTGAGGTTCCCCTGAGTTCTGGGTTCCCCTGAGGTTCCTCTGAGGTTCCTGAGGTTCCTGAGGTTCCTCTGGGTTCCTCTGAGGTTCCCCTGAGGTTCCTGAGGTTCCTCTGGTTTCCTCTGAGGTTCCTCTGAGGTTCCCCTGAGGTTCCTCTGGGGTTCCCCTGAGGTTCTCCTGAGGTTCTGTGGTACCTTTGTGGGGACTTTGACTTCAGATGTGGTGGAGATTTTGGTCTGAGCAGAAGCTCCGCTCTAAAAACACGTCAACAAAATCACACGTCAAAACAACCGAGGTACTGAAGTAAAAGTACAACAACAAGTACAAATCTGAAGTATTTGTACTGAAGTACTTTTCACAGTCAATACTTTTTACTTTTACTGCAGTTGATTTTAGAACAAGACTGAAAATAAAAAAGTACTTTTCTTTATGATTTAAGACCAAAACCAGAACTAAACCAGGACTAAACCAGGACTAAACCAGGACTAAACCAGGACTAAACCAGGTCTAAACCAGGACTAAACCAGGTCTAAACCAGGACTAAACCAGGTCTAAACCAGGTCTAAACCAGGACTAAACCAGGACTAAACCAGGACTAAACCAGGTATAACGATAATATTTTTTAGCACATTCACTTTTAGTTAACATCTCAATTTTGAGTAAACCAAAAAAAAAAAAAAAAGAAGATAAATAATTTTTTAAAGGACACAAAAAGTGTTTTAGACTGAAAACACTCTGTTCCACCTTGTGATGTCATCATGTGGTGATACAGGAAGTGCTCCATTGTCTTTTGAATCATTTGGATCAGTTTCAGTTCTGGACTTGTTGATCTTGACTGAACTAAAAGGAAAAGGAGCTGTTCACTTAAACGACCACCTGATGACATCACGAGGTGGAGCAGAGTCAGTTTGTGATTCAGGAGCTTGAAGTTAAACAGACGCAGACACAGACGTGGACTTCAGCTCGGATTAGACGCAAAAACTTCTGGACATGAAGCGGATTCATTTCCTGTGTGTTTGAAAGTCCAGTCACCTCCAGCAGAGGGCGCAGGGCCTCGCCACGAGGACCACGAGGACCACGGGGACCACGGGGACCACGGGGACCACGAGGACCACGAGGACACACGAGGACCACGAGGACCACGGGACCGGGACCGAGGACCACGGGGACCACGGGGACCACGAGGACCACGAGGACCACGGGGAGACCACGAGGACCACGAGGACCACGGGACCACGAACGAGGACCACGGGGAAGACCACGGGACCACAGGACCACGGGACCACGGGGACCACGGGACCACGGGGACCACGGGGACCACGGGACCACGGGGACCACGGGGACCACGGGACCACGGGACCACGGGACCACGGGGACACGGGACCACGAGGACCACGGGACCACGGGGACCACGAGGACCACGAGGACCACAGGGACCACGAGGACCACGGGACACGGGGACCACGGACCAGGACCACGAGGACCACGGGACCACGAGGGACCACGAGGACCACGGGGACCACGAGGACCACGGGGACCACGAGGACCACGGGGACCACGGGGACCACGGGACCACGGGGACCGGGACCACGGGACCACGGGGACCACGGGACCACGAGGACCACGAGGACCACGAGGACCACGGGGACCGCGGGACCACGGGAAGGACCACGAGGACCACGGGGACCACGGGGACCACGAGGACCACGGGGACCACGGGGTCCACGGGGACCACCACGGCGAAGGTGAGTGGACGTTAAAAACCCGGAGGAGCAGCGTGGGGACAGTCAGGTCCATGGGAGTCCAGGACGTTTTAGAAGATTTAAAGCTGCACTGTGGAACTTTTCTGGAGGAGGTTCCGTCAAACGTTTTCTCCATGGAGATGATATCGTTTTGTCTGGAATGTTCCACAGTATGACATTAAACCTTTATCTCCATGGAGACTAAACCAGACAGAGTCACAGACAGAGTTGGGAGAAGTTACTCTAAAAAAGTCATGTTTTTCTCGTTACTTCTTTAAAAAAGTAATCCTTTACTTTACTTAGTTACCTTCTGTGGAAAGTCACTTTTTACGTTACTTTGGTATTTTTACTCGTTCCTCGTTTCTTTTTGGTGTAAACTCCATCTGAGACTAAACTCGGCACGAGACCAGCTCTGGGTCGACCAGGAACGGCTCGAGGTGAAGGGGGCGCGACGCTCTGGTCACTTTAAGGTCCGTTCAGACGGCGGCGTCAAAAAATGCCCTGGTCATTTGATTTCAGACGCCGACGCCTGGACTAACAGGAGAAAAATACTTGACGCGCGTCCGTTGCCCTGGAAACAAGAGCCTGGTCCTGGTCTTTCCCTGAAAACAATGTCAGACCAGACTGAGAGACTTTAGACTTCAGAGGAGATCGACTCGGCGTTTGTATGTTTATACTCCACTCCAAATTTTGTGGTTCCTCGCCCCAGTTCTCGGGTCTTTCTTCTTCTTCTTCTTCTTGTGGATAATAACGTCACTACGTCTCTGGATACTCGTCTCTGATTGGTTGATGCGACGCGTCTGACACTGAAAGTGTCTTGAACGCTATGAACGCTCAAGACGCACCAACGTCAATGTCAGATTCTCGCCGCACTGACGCCTGAAGACACACAGCAAAAACGCAGGACGCCCCACATGGACTCTGTGTGTGAACTGGACGCTCCGATGCTCCGACACTCCGACGTCCCAACGCTCCAATGCACCAACACTTCAACACTCTGACGCCCCAACGTTCCAACGCCCCAACGTTCCAACGCCCCAACGTTCCAATGCACCGACGCTCCGCTCTGCACAGGCCTTTACGGCTCCTCCCACCTGGACCTCGCCGTTTCCCGGGGGCCGCAGGACCAATGAACCTTATAAAATCGAGCTGTTTAATGTCACACTGTGGAACAATCCAAGCAGAGCAGTCACGTCTCCGTAGAAACGAGCAGGTGGCGGACCCTCCAGTAGAAATGTTACGCAGTGCAGCTTTAAAATAAAACTGAATATTGGTAGTTTTTGTTTTTGGTGATGGTTTGGAGACGTGATCCGTCCCGCAGGAGTTACCTTGGACCAGCCTTTGGGAGAAAACAGGGTCACGTCAGGAACAGCAGCGTCAGGCTGAGGATTAGTCACAAAACAGAACGTCAAAAAAACAAGTCTGAGAGAGGGAAGGAGAGAAGAGAGGAGGAGGAAGAGGAGGAAGAGGAGGAGAAGAGGAAGAGGAGGAAGAGGAGGAGGAAGAAGAGAGAAGAGGAAGAGGAGGAAGAGGAGGAGAAGAGGAGGAGGAGGAAGAGAGAAGAGAGAGAAGAACGGAGGAGGAGGAGGAGAAAGGCGAACAAGGAGAAGCCACAGTCCAAAAAAGTCGCGTCCTTCGACAGTGAACGAGGGATGACGAGGGAAAAGAAAGAGGGAGGAGTCACCAAACAAATCCACCAATCCCCTGTGAGCCCAGAGACCCTGGCCACGCCCCCTCTGACCCCCTGACCTTTGAGGCACTTCCTGCGGCCGCGGAGGCACTTCCTGCAGCCGCGGAGGCACTTCCTGCCGCTGTGGGCTTGGACGCCATGTTGGATCCAGCCGAAGGATTCTGCTGCACACGACACAAAACAGAGGGATGAAGAAGAGGAGGAGAAGAAGAGGAGGAGAGGAGAGAGGGATGAAGAAGAGGAGGAGGAGAAGAGGAGGAGAGGAGAGAGGGATGAAGAAGAGGAGGAGCAGAAGAGGAGGAGAGAAGGGGGAGGAGTTTTGACAATAGCAACAACTGGTCTGACTGGAGCAGGACAGACGAGTGTTTCACAAACTATTCACACCTGAGAAAATTATGGGCTCAGCAACAACCACGAGAACTAAACCAGGACTAAACCAGGACTAAACCAGGTCTAAACCAGGACTAAAACAGAACACAAACTGCATGGAAGATCTGAAGATGAACCCAAGATGACATTGTGTTTTCAGCAGCCTGTGGGTTAGGGTTCAAGTTGGGGTTGACGTTGGGGACAGGGTTGACGTTGGGGACAGGGTTGACGTTGGGGACAGGGTTGACGTTGGGGACAGGGTTGACGTTGGGGACAGGGTTGACGTTGGGGACAGGGTTGACGTTGGGGACAGGGTTGAAGTTGGGGACAGGGTTGATGTTGGGGACAGGGTTGATGTTGGGGACAGGGTTGAAGTTGGGGACAGAGTTGAGTTGGGGACAGGGTTGACGTTGGGGACAGGGTTGAAGTTGGGGACAGGGTTGAAGTTGGGGACAGGGTTGATGTTGGGGACAGGGTTGAAGTTGGGGACAGGGTTGATGTTGGGGACAGGGTTGATGTTGGGACAGGGTTGAGTTGGGGACAGGGTTGAAGTTGGGGACAGGGTTGATGTTGGGGACAGGGTTGGTTGGGGACAGGGTTGACGTTGGGGACAGGGTTGACGTTGGGGACAGGTTGACGTTGGGACAGGGTTGACGTTGGGGACAGGGTTGGGGACAGTTGGTTGGTTTGACGTTGGGTTGTTGGGGTTGACGTTGGGGTTGACGTTGGGTTGACGTTGGGACAGGGTTGAAGTTGGGGACAGGGTTGAAGTTGGGGACAGGGTTGATGTTGGGGACAGGGTTGATGTTGGGGACAGGGTTGATGTTGGGGACAGGGTTGATGTTGGGGACAGAATTGTTGTTGGGGACAGGGTTGACGTTGGGGACAGGGTTGATGTTGGGGACAGGGTTGTTGGGGACGTTGGTTGGGGACAGGGTTGACGTTGGGGACAGGGTTGACGGGACGGGTTGGGGGGACAGGGTTGACGTTGGGACAGGGTTGACGTTGAGGACAGGGTTGACGTTGGGGTTGACGTTGGGGTTGACGTTGGGGACAGGGTTGACGTTGGGGACAGGGTTGACGTTGGGGACAGGGTTGATGTTGGGGACAGGGTTGATGTTGGGGACAGGGTTGATGTTGGGGACAGGTTGACGTTGGGGACAGGGTTGACGTTGGGGACAGGGTTGACGTTGGGACAGGGTTGACGTTGGGGACAGGGTTGACGTTGGGGTTGACGTTGGGGTTGACGTTGGGGTTGACGTTGGGGTTGACGTTGGGGTTTGACGTTGGGGACAGGGTTGACGTTGGGGACAGGGTTGATTGATGTTGGGGACAGGGTTGATGTTGGGACAGGGTTGACAGTTGGGGACAGAATTGATGTTGGGACAGGTTGACGTTGGGGACAGGGTTGACGTTGGGGACAGAATTGATGTTGGGGACAGGGTTGACGTTGGGGACAGGGCTGACGTTGGGGACAGGGTTGAAGTTGGGGACAGGGTTGACGTTGGGGACAGGGTTGACGTTGGGGTTGAAGTTGGGTTAGAGGTTGGACAGAACAGAAGTAAACCAGGATTAAACCAGAACTGAACTAAGATTAAACCAGAACTGAACCAGGTCTAAACCAGGTCTAAACCAGGACTAAAACAGGAGTCAAACCCACAACCCCCTGGTGAGAGGGAGGGGCAGGATAACCTCTGTGCCACACTTTTGTTTTTAAAAGGAAAATGAAGTCGTCTGAGGCAGAACAGGAAGGAAGTACAAGTACACGACTGAAGTACACGCACCTATAGAAGTACACACGATACTACTGAGGTACAGGGAGAACAGCTCCAAACGCTCTGTTCCACGTTGTGATGTCACGCAGTGGTAGTTTAAGTCCTCAGCTCCTTTTCTTTTTAGTTCAGTCGAGATCAACGACTCCCGGGCTGAAAAAACGATCCAGGTGATTCAAGCGAAGCTGTGTGGAGTTTAAAAACACAGTGGAGCACCTCCTGTATCGCCACACGATGACATCACGAGGTGGAACAGAGGGAGTTTTCTTGTGTGTGAGAGAAAAACTGGTGCCAAATGTGCAGGTTTGTGCGTTAAACGTGTGAAAGAAACAAAAAAACACAACTTCAGGTCTGTTTGAGGAAACGGCTTTAAAACAGAGGAGCAGAGGATTATGGGACATGTAGTCTGAGTATAAACTACATCAGAACAGAGCAGAGGATTATGGGACATGTAGTCTGAGTATAAACTACATCAGAACAGAGCAGAGGATTATGGGACATGTAGTCTGAGTATAAATAACATCAGAACAGAGCAGAGGATTATGGGACATGTAGTCTCTGTATAAACTACATTAGAACAGAGGAGCAGAGGATTATGGGACATGTAGTCTGAGTATAAACTATATTAGAACAGAGAACAGAGGATTATGGGACATGTAGTCTGAGTATAAACTATATTAGAACAGAGAACAGAGGATTATGGGACATGTAGTCTGTATAAACTACATCAGAACAGAGCAGAGGATTATGGGACATGTAGTCTGAGTATAAATAACATCAGAACAGAGCAGAGGATTATGGGACATGTAGTCTCTGTATAAACTACATCAGAACAGAGGAGCAGAGGATTATGGGACATGTAGTCTGAGTATAAACTATATTAGAACAGAGAACAGAGGATTATGGGACATGTAGTCTCAGTATAAACTATATTAGAACAGAGAACAGAGGATTATGGGACATGTAGTCTGAGTATAAACTACATTAGAACAGAGCAGAGGATTATGGGACATGTAGTCTCTGTATAAACTACATCAGAACAGAGGAGCAGAGGATTATGGGACATGTAGTCTGAATATAAACTATATTAGAACAGAGAACAGAGGATTATGGGACATGTAGTCTCAGTATAAACTATATTAGAACAGAGAACAGAGGATTATGGGACATGTAGTCTGAGTATAAATAACATCAGAACAGAGCAGAGGATTATGGGACATGTAGTCTCTGTATAAACTACATCAGAACAGAGGAGCAGAGGATTATGGGACATGTAGTCTCAGTATAAACTATATTAGAACAGAGCAGAGGATTATGGGACATGTAGTCTGAGTATAAACAACATTAGAACAGAGAACAGAGCATTATGGGAGTTTGAGTCTCAGTATAAATAACACCAGAACAGAGCAGGGGATTATGGGACATGTAGTCTGAATATAAATAACACCAGAACAGAGCAGGGGATTATGGGATTGTTCAACTATTTCTTGAGCAAATCCTGGTTTTCAGAAAAAGCCATAAATCAGACGAGTCTCTTGATACGAAACGTTTCACCCTGTGAGTCACTCTTATAAACCACGGCCTCTTTCTCTATTAATACACCTGGCTCCGCCCCCCTGCCACGCTCACACCGCCGCGCCCTCACTGCGCCCGCCGCACAGCTCCGATAAAACCTGAGGTGAACCCGTGACGGCGTCGTGTCGTGTTCAGTGACCTCGTTGGCTCCTCGATCAGTTTTGGATCTAATAAAATAACTGGAGGTGGAGGTTTTGTGTTTGTTTGTGTCTGGAGGCGTCGCTGTGACTCTCACTGAATCTACAGCGAAAAATATCCCCCCGGACCAGAAAAGATTTACCCACAAAGCACAAAGAAACACAAACTACTACTGACAGGGGCTGACAGGGGCTGACAGGGGCTGACAGGACACCTCCAACTTTCAAAAAATGTTGGATTTAGTGGCGAGTTTTTCAGCTCTAAATTGTTGATCCTGATCCTGTCCCTGGTCTGAGCTCAGCGCCTCGTGTCTCCGTTGTGGATTTATTCAAATATCTGGACGTGTTGTTGTTTGTTTCTGCCTCCAGGAGGTGGACTGACTCTCACTGGTGCTTCAGAGGAAAAACACCCCCTGCTGAGAGAGGATTTTTCTCATAGAGACAGTGGAATCACAAACTGCTTGTGTTCGACTGACAGGGGCTGACAGGGGCTGACAGGGGCTGACAGGGACCTACAAATGACCAAAATAATTATATTTGTCCCGAGAGATCAGATCAGATCAGATCAGATCAGATCAGATCAGATCAGATCAGATCAGTATCAGAGCTGCTGCCGCACACACAGACACTACTGAGACAGGATTTATTTAAAATGTTATTATTGTTTTATATTCTGTTTGTTCTGGATTCAATGTTTAAGCAAAACTTTGTGCCCTGTCAGCCCCCTGTCGGTCCCTGTCAGTCCCTGTCGGTCCCTGTCAGTCCCTGTCAGCAGTAGTTGGAGTTTGTTTGTGCCCTGTCAGTCCCTGTCAGAAGTAGACGGTATTTCTTTCTGCTCTGTCAGTCCCTGTCAGCTCCTGTCAGCTCCTGTCAGTCCCTGTCAGTCCCTGTCAGCTCCTGTCAGCCCCTGTCAGTCCCTGTCAGCTCCTGTCAGTCCCTGTCAGTCCCTGTCAGCAGTAGTTGGAGTTTGTTTGTGCCCTGTCAGTCCCTGTCAGCCCCTGTCAGTCCCTGTCAGTCCCTGTCAGCTCCTGTCAGTCCCTGTCAGTCCCTGTCAGCTCCTGTCAGCTCCTGTCAGCAGTAGTTGGTGTTTCTTTCTGCTGTCTGGTGGTTCCTCTGGAGGAGCTGGAGGAAGTGTCTGGGGTGAGGGAAGTCTGACACCAGACGACTCCAGACACAAACAAACAGCAGATCCACCCTCCAGGTGTTTTACACGTCCACGAGTCGTCACACTCGCTCAAAACACACCATACAGGTACACAAGAGCTGATTGGCTGAGAGGGTTTTGTGCTGCGAGCTGATTGGCTGAGAGGG